TTCTAAAACAAGATGCTTTTCAGTTACACTTTCATACAGTGCCAACGCAACATGACTTGAACTACTAGGTACCATAGCCCTACAAATAAAGGCTACTGTACCAATAAGAACTGTTCAGGAAGACAGCCCAGGGCTTTCCACACCAACGTAAGTTCAGTGGGCTCTTCTGTTTCGATAAATAGAAAAAAAAAAAAAAGAAAAAAAAAAAAGCAAAGTTACCTATTTCAAAATTTCTGATCAAAAGAGACTCTTGAAGTATTGCAATCTGCAACCCCTTCCCGCAGCATTCTAAAGATGCAGCACACAACAGCATAAGAAGTTTCTCACAATTAAATACGTAATATGCATTTGATAGCTATACATAAGCATCAGATACTTGTTACTTTTCCGGCTTCAAATGCACAAATAGAGTATTTCAAACTAAGTGCCTATAAGAGAGAGAAATCAGTCTTTCTTGTCTGGCAAATCCAACCCATCTTTTGTGCCAAAAAGCAAGCAAAGAAATAAAGGTATTAGTGGTAGAGATAAAACAAAGGTATAGCAGGTTGCATGGCCAACTCAATAGCGTGCAACCAAGGCCTCTGATAATATGACAGTTCACAATAGAGATGATTAAAGAGGCTACTGCCCTGTGCTGCCCCCTCTGTCCCTTCATCGAAGATTCTCTCCCTCCAGCAGCAGCTGAATTTCACAACACAGAACATTAACTTAAACCAACAATTTCAGTTAATAGTTATAAACTGGGGTACAAACCGCAGCAGCTGAGGAGCAAAACACCACTTGCTTTACCTTTGCAATGGCTGTGGTAACCTCTGGCAGAGATGCAAGGTGTCAGTATGAATAAGATTAACCTCCTAAATCATCTCTACAGCACCTGCTCCAATCACGAACAAAAAAACCCTAACCACCCAAAACCAAAAACACAATCAAGTGGTGGTGAAATATCCCAGCAAATGTCATCAAGATACTCTCTAAGTTTTTTCTGCATACTCGTGTCAAGCCTTTCTATTCCCAAAGAAATCTCAATAGCCAGTATATGTTAAAACAGTATCATTGTTTATTCTGTTTAGCTTTTATAAAGATGACAAAAAAAATTTTGCCCTCAGCTATATAAAGGTACATGGCATTCATCTGAAGATAAGTTATGGTTTCCAAAGCAGCACCAAAGAATTTTTTCTCCCACCTCAGAAAAAGCATTTTTTAAAATGATAATTAGTAGGAAGTTTCAAGAAATAAAACTGTTCCTCTGAACATATACTGACATACAGCAATTTTTCCTCAAGAAAAAAAATACTTTAAAAAGTAAAAATCCTGTTTCAGCCTGCAAGTATACTAATTACACATGAAACAGAAGTGACAGTTATACTTTCAAGAAATCTTTCATGCATATTTAATCAGGGCTTTACTGTAGAAATTGCACTGTAATAGTGGGATTACCTATTTTAGAGTCTAGCTTGCACAGTATTGCTCATTCCCTCCAGATGTCACTGATGGATGGTGGATGCAGCGCCAAACGTTCTTTGCTCCACGCTTATCACCTCTTTGGCTGACCTAATGTGGGAGGCCTGACATCTACACTTCCACACTTCCAGCTATGTTGAAGGGATAGTGCTTGCCTGATACTTACCCAAGAGGCAGCAACTCAACCATCTTCTCTTTCATTACAATTTCAGTATGAACTCCCTTTACTTTTAGGTATTGCAACAATTTGCCACCACCCATCCCCCCTTCTTCCTTTCCACAAGAGGGGTAGGTATTGTGAATCTCACCAGTCTGTCACCTATCATATAAACACCACCAAAGTCAAGATCAGCATTTAGTCCAAAAGGTCACAAGGAATGCAAAAATAGCTCTTAACTGCAATTCCCATTTTAGCTTCTAAACTACAGGAAACTGAAAAGAAAGAAAAGGCCACTTCCCTAAAGCCTATACATGAGTGAAGGCACACATAGCACTTAAAACTGAAATTAAAGACAACTCTTCTTCTGTCAGCCATTGTCACTAACAGATAAGCAAATATCAGCACTGAGCTCTGCCCATCAGCAGGTTTTTTTCTGTTTGCTTGTTTTCATCCAAGTAGTGTTTTTAGGCCAGGGATTTCAAAACCATAAGGTCAGCAGCACATCATTACTACCTGGTAAACCATGTTAACTTGCCAGTTTTTTTGCCCTTGAATGCTACAATCTGGTATTCACAGAACACTGAGATAAAAAATAAGATCTGAAAAAAAGCAAATAATATTCACTAAAGCTTCTGTAGTGCTGCTTTATGTTTATTTTGTTTAAAAAATCTAAACCTCAACTTTCATAGACCTCCTGCAAATTATTCAGTTTCATAATACACAGGAAAATATCCAGAATTGAATGTTCACTTCTAGGCATCTAAATATAGTGACACTACTATCAAACAGACAGGTAAGCACTTGCAGCTGAGTGGAAGCTACATTTAGGCAAATGAAAGGAAGAAATATTACACCTTTAAGATTCATAAATTTGGACCATATGATACATTGAGAGTTCTTAAATGGATGTTAAAGACCAAACAGTGCAAGGATAAAAGATTAACAACAGCAAACAAGAGACAGGTCATTAGGATTTCTCAGGTTTGGGAGGTTGAGCTTTTGTTCATGTTATTGCCAAGGCTCTTCTAAGAATCAAGAGAAACATTGTCACAATACTCCCAGAGAAACTGTACTGAATAATTCCATTAAAGAAAAAAAGGAAAAAAACCAAAACAACAACAACCAAAAAAAAAAATATCTCTCACCCTCTCAAGCACCCAATAAGTCAAGAAAATTACTACAGCATAGTAAGCCTGTTGCACCTGCATAACTGGTTGAGATCTAACACAAAACAGTAGAGCGAGGGAAGATTATTAAAACAAATAAAAAAACCAAACTGTTTTAAAAATCCTGTAGAATAGGAACCGATATTTTGGTTTCCACTGACTTTAAAGTCAATTAATGCTGGCAGAATCTACATAGATGTTTTAATATCATATCTTCAAAACAACTTAAGAAACTAGTATGAAACTCAGCATGGGTTACACAGCACTGAGATGGTACATGAAGAGCAGAAATTTAAGATGTTAGTTTAAAACACACAAAAAGAAAAAAAATCAAAAGAATTTATTGAAGAAATCCCTTGCAAAATTTCTACTATAGCTACTGTGCATTCTAATGTTACTAACAATCCTTTTAGTGTTCAAGCTGCTCAGACCTGAGCAGGTGGAAAGGAATTAGGGAGCATATCTAATAGCCCAAAACTCACACACATATACGTGTGTTTATATTTATGCACACATGCACACACAAGAACTTGATACACATATTTTTCCAGGGGACAAAAAACAAACCCCGGACCAAATTCAGTGTTTATAGTAGCCCATATTATCATTCACCACTCTGGTATGTCCCATTTTAAGAAAACCCCAGGGAACACTTCATCTGAAAGAATATCAAGCTGGTCCTGAGTTTTGGCACATTACAAGAAGATCGAATAGGCTGCAAAACATACCGTGTTAATAATAATATGCACAGATAATATTTTCCACTGTTATACCACTCTCAATCCAGCTCATGTGCCAGGCTTGTTTACATCCAGTTTTCATACCATTTTACAGCTATACTGATTTCATTACAGATATAGTTAGAGAAGTACATAGGAAACATTTGTAGACAGAAACATTTGAAAAAAGGATAGAGGAAGCATAGTAATACTTATTTCCTACATTCCACCAGCCCACAACACTCTGACTAGTTAAGTACTGTGTCCACAGTAGAGCTCCCACAATTAAATTGGAACTTCAGAGAAACTTTACTGGTGATAAAGCAGCTGTGCAGATGGTTTTTTTTTAGGAAGACAACTCCTACAGTAGTTTTAAGTCTTCAAACCCTAATAGATCACAAAGCAGCCCTCTCACCAGAGTGAAGCTGACTTGAAAAAACATGAGCAGCACACACTCAAAGAACTCATCCCTGAAAAGGATACTTACAACACCACAAAATTTCCAACACTGCTGAAAAATATATTTATTATGGATATAAAAAAATAATTTTCACATTCTGGAAGTCCTGGAGACTAGGAGTGCAAAGATATGAATTACTGGCAAATTGGTCTTCAATAAACAGACTTCCATTCTACTCTGCTTCCACAGTAGCACAAGGACAGGAAAGATACTGACTGGGTATGAATTTCACTCTAACAACTTCATCTTGAGGTTGGAGTGGAGGGTCAAAGACCTTAGGCATGCACAAAGATGGAAGAAAGGAGGGGAAAAAAGCATAAAAATAAGAGAAAACAATAGAAAAATACTTCGGTTTGTATAACGAACTATATTTAAGAAGGGTGCAGGGAGGCACACAAAAGGGAATAGAAGTCCATGAGTATTCATTCCAGCATTTCCATGCTCTCTGTATCCTCTGATGTCACTCTTCTTTTCAACTGCTATATCCTATATACCTTTTCTTCCTATTTCACAACAAAGCTGTTCTGGGACAGAACGCGATTTTTTCACTGTGAACAAAGAAAGCCTCTATGACAGCATTAGGTGGCAATTGCTAATCAGCGCTTCACTATGTTACCTGTATTCAAACAAGAAGCCGAACTGGCAGTCAAATAAAAATGTGAAAATACGAGATGATCTCAAGTTTGCTTTGCAAATCCACCTCACCTTAAAGTGAGGAGGCTTACCTCCTATGTCTTGCTAATATAACTATAGTAAGCCTGTTATCATAAACTCAGTTCTGCTGTACAGAAGCGTTACGAAGTAAATTCCCCACAGTAGTTCATTTGAAGTTTTCAGGTCCAAAGTACAAATTACAATCTATTACGCTTCCTCTGATTGCACTTAGAAATTTGGACACAGTAGGATCCTAAATGAACATTAGTAATTTCTAACTTACAAGATGCAAGTTAAACAAATCATTGACCTCAAATTGCAACTCTGTATTGACACATTTCATCAATCACAAGAAAATGCCCATGCAAACTGGGTCTTACCTTATCCTTTTCATGGGGAAGGAGACACACTGGAGGGAGACAGGAAAGAGACTCAAAACTCTCCTTCCCATCAGCATTAGTGGTTGCTTTAGTGTTGAGTTGGTACAGAGGTCCATCTTTAAGGAGCCTACCATGGCCAACAGCACGTTTGACAGCTAATCGTAATTGCTGGTGAAAAACGGAGGCAGCGCTACCTCCAAATAACGCAGACACATCTTTCTGACCTTTCAGAAAACGCTCGATGTTCTTCAAGGATGAGCCACTAGACTCAGCCAAGCCCTCAATTGCCCGTTTGATAAGTTTATTCCAGTCCACGTTTGGTTTACCATCCAACTTGCCATGGTTCCGAGGCTTCGGAAGTGCTATTCTCCCAGGATTATCAGGATCCTTGTAGGAGTTGAGACCCTTGTTGGAGACTTTTAAAATAGTTCCATCTTTAACACTCAACTCTAACTGTTCCAGAACAGTTTTGCGGTCCAAACCATGCGAAGACGACACTGCATTGCATATCCTCTCCTCTGAAGGACGCTGTTTTTGCTTCTTTACCTTTTTGATTGCCTCCAAAATCCACTCTGTATACAGCGGGTTGGCGAGTTTTACCATGATGAAGAATTCTGTATATCCATAGAGTCGTTATCCTTTATCCCGATGCTGCACAAGTTTCACACGATGAGAAAAGAGATTCTCGAATGATGGGAACCAGCTAACCATAGCATACACGTTTTCTGTTCTGAATTACTCCTCCTTTCTCAAACATTATTGTTTTCACTCTGAAGAGAGGAAAGCAAAACAATTATTCTTTCCATATAAATCCCCTAACAGCTTCAGAGAAAGTTTTTCCACAAAGGTATAAAGATTTCAGCATATCTCACCTCAGCTTCTGGTCTGCACACTCACAATAAGAAGAACTGTAACATTAGGCCTAGAAGAAGACAAGAAGAGAGAGATTTCCAAAGAGCAGTTAGAAAAAAAAGAAAAAAAAATTAGCAGCCAACATTAACTCATTAAACACATAGCAGAGTTTTAATCCACTACTACCGTTCTGAAACACTGAAGTAATACTTAAGGTTTTATCTTCACTACTAATAAAAGCATGCTTTAACACTGAAATAATTCCATACAACCTAGAGAAAAAAGTGTGCCCTCTTTATTTCAATACATAAGTCAGTATAAATTCTATACCAAGTTTTATATCATTGCTGAGCACAACCTAAATTAATATTTGGTGGGGGAAAAAACCCACAACAAAGATCTTAAAAAAGCAGCAGCTCTCTTCATTTTTGCACATGGAAGACACTGCCTGAAACTTCAATAGAAAGCAGTAGGAATAGCCAAGAGTCTTGAGCAAACAGCAAGAAACTTTCAGAGCTCTTCCAGAAGCATAATTATAGGTCTGATTCCCTCTTGCTAAGAAAAGCTATGACAGTTGTTCCATCAAGAAAAAAAGTGAAGAAAAGTGAAGAAACACAGCTGGAGATTGTAATTAAATGTTCCACTTCCAGAGACCATAGAAAAGAAGAATGCAACATTATAATCTTCAGTATAGATGAGGCACACTGAAAACATTTGAGGACAAAGTAACAGGTGACCATACACAATGAAGAAGGAATGCTTATGACACTGCTAATTAAAGATGCAGGTGGAAGGGTATGAGGCTATACTTAACAGCCTTTAGAAAAAGTCTTTGTTAAAGACAACTAAGTGTGATAACAGTATGCTGTGCTGAAGTTCTACTGCAAAAGTACACTAACCAAGAATTTATAAACTGTTTATTACAAGGAATAACGATTTTCTGCAAGGGAAGTTTTAGTCACGAGCTAGTCGTGAACACAGTTCTCCCATTCTACTTTCTAGTAAGTATGAAGAATTTATCAACACGCAGAACACATTTGCACACAGACATCAGACTCAATTGCACAGCTCCATACAGCCAGTACTGGAAAGATTCAGAACTACTGTTCAGAGCAGAAAGGATGCAGTGCTCGCCTAGAGTTCTTTTACTCCGCAAACAACAGATGTAAAAGGAAATATGGTCCCCGAGACCTGCCTGCCTGGCAAAGCGAAGCTGTGCTCCCGGGGTGCCCCAGCACGCTAGGATGCCGGGGCCAAGGAGGACGCAGTGCTCTGTCCCCAGCAGAGCTCCGTGCGCAGGACGTTACGTAACCGCCCGGCCAGGCTAGGGCGATACCGGGACGGTCCCAACGCCAGGTCGCTCACTCGCTATCTGCGTGACAAGCGGCCCCTGCACCTGCTACCGCTCGTCCCCATCCCCATCCCGGACA